ACGCTTACCAACACGACTCCACCGCACACACAACAACCCCACGGTCACGAACCACAAAGACACCTTTGCAATAAGACGTGCCTGGGGGTGGATTCCCAGGTCAAACACACTGCGGGGCAGGGAAGGAGGACAGGATGAGTGGGGAGGAGCATGGCAGGCCTGGGAGGCACAGGAGAGGGGTCTTTTCTCTTACTACTGCCCCGCCCCGCCGCTGATGCAGCTACCTCTCAGTGCTATAGGATGGCTCAGGACCAAGTGTGGCCAAGGGGCTCTCCAGACCTGCCAGGGGCTTCCGTGTTCCCCTTCCCCTTTACTCAAAGAGGAAAGTTTACTGCCAGGTGTAAGCTCAAATGTTCCCCTCACCCATCAGCAATTCACTCTAGGAAGTGTGTAGCAGGGGTAGAAAGCAGGGACAGCCAGTAACTAAGGTTTGGAGGGAGCAGGGGCTAGTCTAAGACGGATGAAGTCCCTGATGCTCAGCTCCAAGCATCCTAGTGAGACTGTACCAGCACAGGGCAGAGCCAGGCCACAGACCTAAGCCAGCTGAGTGTCAGGATGCCTGTTACACAGCAGCCAGATTCAGACAGATGGGTAGAGTTTACCTCCGGTATTTCGGATTCTCCCCATGCTGCCCCTCTCCTCCCCGCCCCCCTCCCCACCAGCAAAAGCAAAAATCAGTGTCCAAAAGGAACAGAGAACTTGAGGCAAAGCCAAGCTGGGCATGGACTGTGACAACCCATGCCACCTGCCCAGCCACCAAAGATGTATCCATCAATCTGCCTTCCTACAAAATAACCAGAGGCCCCAAGTGCCTGGCCAGTGTCAGCAGAGACCATAATGCTACCTGCAGGTGGCACATCTCTGAATGCCTCTGCCCTCTATTGTGCTGTTAGATGCATGTCTGGAAGATCACCTGTCTGGAAGAAACTAGATCCCTTCCCTTTTGTCCCAAGCATGGAAGGACAGTTAGGACACAGCCACACCCAAATGCTCACAGCACTTGTAAGGGGCCCCAGCCCTCAGTCTCCAGCATCATCATGGCAAGGAGGTCAGTCAAAGATGCCAGGCTCCTAGCTGACAGTCCTTGGCACCTTCACCCCACCCCCTGGGTGCATGGCAGGGTATTAAGTAACCACTTGTTGTTATTAATTTCTGTTTTTGACTAATCAAATGTGTCTGAAAACGAAATCTGAATGTATAAAATGAATGAATTAATTTTCTCAACAAAATAGTAACTTTTTTTTTAAAAAAAAGCATTTAAGAAAGATTATATATCATAGAATATATTAAATTCTGTACATGATCAAACAATGTAAACATAATTAATTAACCTTTAATGTCTTTATAAATAGACTACGACTGCTATGTACCTGGAGCAAAGGTGATCAATGGTACATGGGGCTTCCTTGTGATTATCCACTGCAAACATGTTGGGCAGTTTGGGTACCAGATGGAACCTCACTGGGTAAGGGGGACAACTGGATATGCCCGCCCACGGGGTCCTGCCTTTCCCCAGGCAAGAAGCAGCTGCCACGACTGGGACATGTTGCCTGGACCTTGATGCACATGAGATAATGCTGAGGGCAGGGAGAAGGGAATGGAAAAGGGATGGGACTGAAAAAAATAATCAGTTGGTAATGAATGAATCCTTTCTCTGTTCCTAGAGGAGCCCTGGGGACTCATGGAAAAGCCAGTGACATACATGAGAGAAAGAAGAGCGAGCTTCAGGGTGGAAAGGGAAGGCAGCCCTCCCCTGGCATCAGAGTCAGGACTCCAACCCACCTGTTGTACTCAGTTCCATGGATCTCTGTCTGTTCAGAACCAGGTAAGCCTGAATCTAGATCGCAAGCCTTGGAGCCCTGGATCAAAAGTGTCCTTTCCACACTGAAGGGGACACAGGCCCGTGGGGAGGGATTCATCATAGCTACAGCCAGGCAGCCCCATGGAGTCAGGGAGCCCCTGGTCCCTAATGATGAGGCACTTTGCCACCTTGGCATCTAATGGTTGTGGCTCTCCTGGGCTCTTTGGTGATCTGGCAGTTTCACCCAGATTGTGCCAGGTTCAGTGTCAACTGGACTGGAAAACCCAAAGCAAACCTCAGTAGAGTTTGCAGGAGCTGGGCACCAGAGCCAGGAACTCCATTTCATTTTGAAGCTCAGCACCAGAGCTAGGGCCACAGGGAACTGCCTGGGGAAGCTCAGGCTGCACTTGGACCAGGTGTAAGTTTGACTCAGTATGGAGGCAGATGCTGCCTGCAGTGCTCAGACACGGCTCTGGGCAGGCCGGGCTCAGGCCTGCACTGGTCAGGAAGCTGGAAGTTCTGCACAGCTTGAATTTTGTCACCAGCATCCTCAGTGCCCAGCTCCAGCAGTATTACTGCTGCCTTCCCCCCCAGCTAAGACTTTATCAGGCTGGCTGGCCCCATTCAGAGTCCCACTGGGCCCCAGCCCAGAAGCACTGGGCTGGCACCATTCTTGCTGAATGTGAGGAGGACCCTCCCCTCCCCGTGAAAGCTGATCCCCTGCTTAGCATCCCTGTGCTCTTTGAACTGCTGTCGCCTACTGGGCCAGCTCAGCTGTCCTGTGCCCATGGCAGCATTTGCCCAGGTGCAAAGCAGTCCCTCCCTTGGGCTCACACTGTTAGAACCCAATATTTTACCTTGGGGGCTTCTGAGATTGGCGAGCACCTGCCTCTCTCTCTCACTCACTGCCATAGGCTGGCAGTCCCCAGGTTCAAGCTTTATGGCAACCTGCCCAGACCCAGCACAGTAACCCATGGGGCAGGAATGGGAACGTAGTTTAAACTAACGTGGAAACCCAGGGGCACAATACTAAAGTGCAGGATGGCAGTAGGAACATTAGAACCCTAAGCCCCCTCCAAGGGGACATAGAGAAGCCAGAGACCCTGGAGCGGAGCTGCCCCAATTCTGGAGCCATTTCACATTGCAATCCAGACCCAAGTTCTGAAATGCTTCCAGAGCCAAGACCCCCTGAGCTAGTCCCACCTCCAGATCTCAACACTGTGGCTGGAGCAGACTCCTGATATGAACCCACAATGTCTGTGTCCATTCATTTACCCTGTCACCGGTCTGAGAGCAGAAGGCAGTTCTCAGCAGAGCTCTCCTCTAGCTGCTTTTCGAACCATATTATTATTCCATGGCAAGAGAGTGCATGAAATCAGATAAATAAGCCCCTATCTTTGACCTCCTCCCAGCCAGTCTGGAGTAGAGGGGCCAGGCTAGCAGAGCACCCAACACAGGGCCAGCTCCTGGCACAGTACAGTGGGCCCAAAGAACAGGCATTTGAGTGTGCAGCCATGGATAAGCACCTGCTTTGCATGTGCACACGTGTGCAGTATACAGGCAACTTGCCAGTTATTGGTGTTTTTCTTGCAGGCACCAAGGCTGAAACTGTGGCCATCCACAAAGTTGGCTGAGATCAGAAGCAAGAAGCCAACTTTGGAGCAGGCCCCATGTACGTGGGTGCTGCCAACATGTTGTACCAGCTGCTAGATCTACACAGTTCACAGGCTTTCGCTTGCTCACCAGCTTGCCATCAGGTAACCAAACATGTTTTAAGCAGTACAAGGAAATCCATAATTTTTGTATGGACTTGGTGGGTGGAAGGGGCTGCAGACTGCAGCTGATTTAGTTGACACACGGCAAGGGGTCTTGCTAATGTGGTGAGCCTCCCTTGAGTAGAGGAGATCATTTTACTTGCAATTGATACTTAAGTGTCTGAAGATGCTCAGATTAAAACAAGCCCTTCTATAGGGGGTGGGGGGGTGGACCCGATTAAGGTACCCTGCTACAGGACACTACATCTACAGCAGGCTCCCCCACCCAGCACAAGGCTAGCAGATGTAAAGAGTAGGGGAAATCAAATCAAGTGGCAGCATACAGCAAGGGGTGAGCCACCACTGTGGGCAATTTGGAAAGGTTATCCCAACAAATGGAAATCCCTTTGGGCCCAGACACCCAGCCTGACTTGCTAAGGAACTTCACAAATGGCACAGTGAGCTAGGGAACCTGCCTAACCAGTCTGGATTGAATAAGGCTGCCCTTTGCACCCATGCCTGTCTGCTCTCTCTTATTTTTACAGCGTGAGGTCTAGAAGCTGGTGTGGGAGTTGCATCTCTCCAGCAAATTCTGGAGGTGGCTTGTCTGGAGCACCCAGCAGTACTGTACCTGGAAATGGATGGGGCTGTGTCCTATGCCTGTATTGATGTTTTACCTATGGTTTGTGTTTAGTGTTGATCTCAAGTTTAAACGGATGGCTCTAGCCTGTCTTAACAAATAAAGGCAGAAGAGAAAAGAAAAAAAAGTTTGTTTCAATGTTCCCCTTGTGACTGCTTGATGGAGAAAGTCTGGGTGGGCATCACCCTGGCACCCAGCTCTGATTGGTGGGTTGAGGGGCGCTGGGCAATGAGGGCATGTTGAGACCATTCTGTGGTGGAAGAGCCGAGTCAAAGTTAAAGTCCATCTCATCACTGTCCATAAAGTCATTAAGGATAATGGACTCCACATCACACTCCAAGCTGCCATTGAACATGTCCAGGTCAAGGTCTGCTGGGAACCTGTCTTGGCCCAAAACCGGGGGGTGAATGGCCCCTTGGTAGGGGCCTTGTAGGGAATCCAGCAAGCTCACATGTGCCCCTTGGTTATTAGCGTAGGAATGGAGATGCCCATGATGGGGCATGGCTGCCATGCTGCATGTGTCACTAGGCAAGCTCATAAGGCTGACAGGATTAGGTAAGGCACTGTTGTTGACAGCAGGATGGTGACTGGCTGGTGACGGGTGATACAAAGTGTTGTTCTTCATTAGGGAGGCAGAATGGGCAGGGTAAGAGGCTAAGCCCTGATCCCCACCTCCACACATAAGGGTGTTCTGTCTGTGGCTGCGGGACTGCACCATGGTGCTGGCCTGAGACATGGGCAGGTCACCCTGGGCCATGCTCTCTTTGTGCGTGTAGGAGATAGAGGACAGCAGGTCCTGCAGTGAGGCATTACTGTATGAGCTGACGGGTGAGAAGGTGGCTTGCTTGTTCTCCTGGATGGTCTGCATGGGCAGACGCCGCATCAAGTTCATGGCTGGCTGGCTATAGATAGTCCCACAGTATGTGTTGGTGGCAGCCCCCATGGTTGAGCACTTGGAATTGAAGGTGAAGCTGGAGCTTCTCTGTCTGAGGGCTCCTGAGGGGAGCTGCTGGGAAGGGCTCATGCTGTAGTTGTCCTGCAGGTCATCCAAGAGGCTCTCCCCGAGCCCCTCATTCAGGTTAATGGTGCCAGTTAAGTCAGTCAGCCGGGGCAGCTCCACAGAGCACCTGGTATTCAGGGAGGGAGACATGGTGCTGGATGGACTGGGGTACATCAGTGGGGAGGATGGTGTCCCATCATCATCCTCCAGGTCATCTGGCTCATGGTTGGCCATAATCGGTGAGAGGCGCCCACTCATTGTGCTGGCCGAGGAATTGGCCCGCGTCCGGAAGTCGGCCCAGGCATCGTACTCATCACTGGCATGGGATGCAGGACTCTCAGACCACTTGGCCTGCTGGGAGGATGGGCTGTCTTCCCCACGCTCCTGCGTGGCCTGGAGTTGCTTCTTCTTGCTGGCTTTCCCTTTGATCCTCAGGAACTTGCTGTTGTTGTCCATGGACACTGCCCGCCGGCGAGGCGTCTTACCAGTCTTGCCTCCCTCAGGGTTCAGCATCCACCAGGAGCTCTTGCCAGTGCCCTCGTTCTGCACACGGATGAACCTGGTGTGCAAGGACAGGTTGTGCCGTATCGAGTTCTGCAGAGACAACAAAACACAGAGAACCCTGGGTCATTAGAAGGCACCAGCACCTTGGTCCCCTCATGGCCACACCTGCCACAGCTGAAGGAGAGCTTCCCTGGGCCGAGCACAGGCCTGGGCAGCAGCCATAGGGTAAGGCCACCTGTTTTCAAGTCCTGGTTCACTACAGAAGCAGTGTGCTCTCTCCAAGAAGCACTAGATTTAGCCAGACAGGGACTCCTCAAAGGCTCTGAGTGCCTTGGATAATGAACACCTCACTCCCTTAGGACAGGAGCATCATAAGGGCAAGCTGCTTGTTTCAGCCCTGCCAATGTGCCTCTGCCCTGGCCAGGTGAAATCATGGGGCAGTCAGCCTCCATCACTCATTTGGGGCTTGGCCTCTCTCCTATGGCTGCCAAAAAAGGGACTTGGGAGTGCCACGGGGAAAGTCTATAACATGGACATTGCACTGATACAACCAACCCCCTGCACACAGGCCACTGGACAGACCCCATTCTCAGGTATGATGATGTTCTCTCTATGGGATAAGCCAGGAGTGGCTCCATGTGGAGACTGACACTAATGTCAGAAACAGCAACATGAGAGTAAGAATCAAGCCAAGCCCTGAGCACCTGATAATATGGACCACCCCCTTTCACCCTCCTCGCTGCCCGCTTTAACCCCCAGCTCCTACTAGCAGAGCCTGCCCTCCGATACCTGAAGCCTGCTGTCTGCCTTCCAAACACGGTCAGATGAAAGTGCAGCTCTGGCTTGCTGCTGCCAGGTACCTGGGAGTCCCATGTTGCCAATCCCCACCCTGACTCCCTCAAACGCACTTCTTCCCTCTCCTTCCCCAACTCTGCTGGGTCCTTAATGCCCACTAACAACTCCTCCCTCTTCCCCCACCCCACATCAATCCATGCTCATGCTAGCCTCTGGACCATCCTTGCCCTGGAATCAGCCAGCTGGAACGGTCAGGGCACACCAGGTACAGCCAAACAATTGGGCTGGAGGCCTCTGCACTCCTTATCTAGGTGTCTGGTTCCCTGGTATATATAAAAAGCATACATAAAATTGGCAGAAACTTCTGAACCAGTCCTGAATGGGAGCTGTGTCTGGTTGCACCCCGAGCAGTACTGTGACTCAGACACAGCTCCCTAGTCACTGCCTTTTATTCCCTTTTGCACTGGCATTCACATCAGTCAACCAGTGCCATAGAAATATTTGTGGAAGAAGATGTAGGGTGACGCCCAGGTGAATATTTATTTGCATACCACAAAGGTTAAGTCAGCCATCTCAAAAGCTCTTTTGGCCTTGAGGAGCATCCATTCAAGAGCAGAAATAAGAGCAGGTGACTTCGGTGTCTGCCCATACATTGCCAATAGCAATTCACAAGCAGCTAGGATGGCCTGTAGTTCCATCAGTTGTCCAAGCAGCAACTTCAAGCAGCTGGCCCAGTCAAAGCAGGTCACAGCCTGGCTCTGGGTAATTCATAAGCAACAAACAGGGCAGGAATATCTCCACACCTCACTTCCCTGGCTCAGGGGCCTCTCACACTTCTTTGCAGCATTTTTTCCGTCCCAGGCAAATGCTGCTACTGTACTACCTTGTGACAGCTCAATGGTCATTGATGCATGGCACATGCATAGTGGATCTGATCTGGATTGTGGGTCTGGGACCCACCTCTAGTGCAAAGACATACTGCAAAACTGTGTTACTGAGGGCAAGTTTCTGCCACATCCCTCCCCCTCCAGCCCCCAACTCCTGTCCTGCCAGCTGCTCCTTACCTGCCCCCAAGATGTGAGGAGGAAAGCTGAATGTGCGCAGGAGTCAGCACAATAGAACCTAACCCTTTGCTTTTCCTCCACTCCTTTGAATTCAGGAGCTAGGGTGGTTACGTGGAAGGTCCCTGCTTACAAACAAGAGCCACTTCAGATCCCTGAGTGCCTCACAATTGTGGCTTCACACAGAAGTTGGGCTGGTTCAGCACCAGACACCCAGGAAGAAAACGCACGTCCTCCCAACCCACCCAGGAATATGCGACAAAGCCTGTCCCAGCTGCACACTGCCGGCACTGCCGGCACCTGCTGCCATTTGAGGGATTTTTGACACCATAGAAAGCAAGTTTAAATGTTGCAAATGGAGCGACAGGAGGAAGCCGTGCCT